ATATTTTATTTTTTTATGATATATATATATATATATATATATATATATATATATATAATAGGACGTTTCAACTCGAAATCGGATCAATGTATGGCTCAAAATTGGCTAGAAAATAAATTTGATCTAAACTTTAGGCTCATAGCTCGGCTCTTTTATTTTGATCCGATCTCGATCAAAGCAAAATTCAAGTCGATTAATGATATTCGAGCTAAATTCACAGCGCCACCCAGGAGGTCTCCTTTTCATAATTTCAATGCTCTAAATGAATTGGTGAAATTTATTTTGCAAACAAGAGACATGGTTATTTTCAATCATTAACGTGAAAACAAATAATCCATCTATATAGCTCATGTCACCCAAGAACAATAGAATGAAGCAACAAAATTATTATAACTCTTAGAAAGACAAGAAAAGATAACTAAATTGAGTATCGAGGAATAACTCATTTATCCTTCCAAAAGGTAAAGCTTATTCCATCATGAATCTTCAACAATCTGTCATTTTGTAAACTCGGATTCACCATTCTCTGCTAGGAGAAATGATTTCAAAGTGCACTGGTATGTGATCTTATTTTCTTCCATTTATAACATTTGAAATGAAGGAATGCAAAATGTTAGTAATAAAAAAAAGAAAAGATTTTTAGGTTCAACATTATTATTCTTACTTATTTTGGGATAAAAAATGCTAAAGAGAAGTTGCAAAAAATTAAAAAATTTATATAGGCAAAAAAGCTTTCATAATGCCCCATTTCAATTTTTTTCTGGTCAGTTTAAATGTGCATCTTTAGTCGGACTATCCTGTGTTTCTCATGTTCGTTTGTAATCATCTTTCTAATCTTTCTTTTCATTCAATAAAATAGGTTAGCCAAGTTTTTCAATAAAAATGAGCAGTTAGATTCCTATTACGTTAAAGACAATATTCTTAAGATTAATCAATGCCACAAGAAATCGCCAAATTGAAAAAATATGACCAATGGCATCTTAGAAAAATCATGTTCAAGGGAATAAGTTAAAAGTACAAGTTAATCGAGTGCAACATGATTTTAGTGCTACAGCGCATAAGCAAGTAAAACTTTTACACGCACAAATTAAAAAACCAACTTAGCCGGTATCAATGGATGACAGTGAAAGAAAATGTTGTCAAAATTTGTTATGCCCGTTGAATATATAAGTTGGTCTATATATTTTCAACTAAGCTGGTCGGCACTATTAAACTTTAAGATTTACTGAGGGAAAAAACAAGAAAAGAATAATAAATTTGAATGAAAACATTCAACAATGTATTGTTACTGCATTTTCCGATCACAGCAAATGGTTATGAAAGTTTTCATAAACTAAATTCTTAAAAACAAGCTTCTCAACTTATGGCAGCTGAAAGAACAATTTCAAGCAAGTAAGAACATCAGTTACAAATATAACTCAAAAAAAAAATTTACATGCATAGCACTCAATTCCTATGCATTTACATATCTAACACTAAAACTTTAATTTTTCATACATACCACCTTAGTATTTCACTTTTTAAAAGTTAAAATGGTGGTATTTTTTATGTGATATTAGACGTTTGGGTGTTATAAATGTAAACAGTAAAATTCCGGTGCTAGATTTGTAAATTCATAAGAATTGTGTGGCATGTATATAAATGCTAAAAAAAACACTCTAAAAACAGATATACCAAAAATGCAGTAAGATGAGCTAATATGAAAGAAACCTTGCCATAGTCCTCAATCACGACTCCCCTAGTGATCTCCCACAGCTTTACAGAACCTGCTGCATCCTGTTAAAAATGTCATGAATTAAGAAAGCATAGATCATAGGTTGCAGCAGCTGCTGCCTTCATATCCCAACAATGTTGGAAATCAGAATAGCAAATGCATGCTGCCAAATGTTTTCATATTTCAATCAGCGGGAATTTGAAAACCATGCCCATAGTACACGAAAAATAAAAGTCATCACATTTACCTTGGTTAGAACATGTCTTCTGTTGTTCAAAATTTCATGTTGCACAACTGCTGGAATGCCCGGTATGGTAAATGATGGTTCCTTGTAAACTGGAGCCTGTTAAAGCAATAAATGTCAAAACTTGCAATCACAAAATTAAGGAGAAACAAGAGCCCATTAGAACACAACAATCTATTGCATGCAGAGTTATATTCAACTGACCAAAAAAACACAAACAAATATGAAATTAAAAAATTGCGTCCATTGTCAGTTCCAAATTCCTAATGAGAACAAAGCTTCAAAAACATTAGGAATCATAGCCACATTTAAACAAATCTTTTAAAACCTTGTCTACATATGCAATATCAACTTGCCATACTATAGAAATAACAAGAAAGGCTGATAAAGATAAATCCATTGCAAAATTAGGAATAATAGCAGTACTGAAGTTATTTTTGTGAATAGTTTTCAACAATCATATATTCTAATGAATCTACTCTGCCCTAAACGTGAAAATGGGGAAACGTTCTCCCATTTGAGTTTCTATGGTCACGTAGAGTAACTTCCTAAGCTAATTTTGAATTACATTTGTGTCAACTGCAATAAAATATAAAGTACTCAGCATCATGCAAATTTACTTCAAAATACGATATACAAATCGAAGATCAATCAATCATCACCCATCCACGAAACAGATTGGTCAATGCATTCAAAGAACCAAAATCATTAAGAAAAAGACAGCTGACATCGATTCGATCAAACACAACAAAAAGATTCAAACAACGGAAGCATTGTTGCGTGAGTTGGGATCAAAACATCTCAAATGCAACCAAAATTGTCTAAACATCACTCCTTTCATAAATCGGGCTACATCAAAGCATTTAGAGCCTCTAAATCACCTTAGAAGAAGCTATTATTGAATGTTTTGTAGCACAAGAAAAGGATAAAACTTAGTTCATCCATAAGGTGCCAACACATTCAACTCGAGAAAGTAACGAGAAATCACGAGGAACAATCAGTCTGAACAAATAATTTGTTATCGTACCAAACAAATAATTTGTTTCAAAATATTAAAAAAATAACTTTAATATTAAACTAATGTTATTATCTTTTTTTTAATTCTTTCTCATGTATCAGACCAATCTATCCCTGTGAATTTACATTGGTTTCGTCCAATCAAGCATCAAACAAAAAAGGGGGGAAATTTAATTCCATCCCTTGATAAATCATGACTCTCGCTCTCTCAATTTTTTTTCATAATAGAAACCCTCATCCTCATCTACCACCAACTTATACTCACATGTGCATCAAGAGGCACAATTAAAAACCCTCTAAGAAATTATAACATTTTCGTTACCTTCAATAGGGCCAACCTGACTATGTACTATGAGCAAACAGAAACTTTGACGAATGAGGTCGAAACTTACCCAACCCCGGGAGAATAAAGCTGGGCGTCAAAGTATTGTGGCAAATGTTCGCATCCCAGAAGGCTGCACCAAACCTATCGAAATTTTATGAGGGCTCAACCAGCTCTAGTAAGGGAACTACTCCTTCCCTATTGAGAGGACCACTCCTAGTTATCCTCGGGTTATTTATTTGTTTTGTAGCATTTAGGCTTGTAGTTTTTCGTTTGTTTTGTATCGGGACAGCCATCGGCATCTCTCTTTTTCCGCCTAGGATTGTATCCAAGAGTCTGAGTGATGCTCCAGATGTATCTCGCTCTCGAGATGTTATTTATCTGTTATGGTATGGCTCATATACCATATAAGGACATATGTTGGATCGAAGCGGAGCGGAGCGGAGCGGAAGAATCTGTCCAAATTGAAGAATCTGTCCAAATTGGGAAGCTACGTAGGTTGGGGTGCGGGGGCAAAGCCTCGCGGTATGGAACAGGGGTAATGTTGTAATTACATATTGTGCCTAAGATTTACTCTTGGGGTTATAAATAAGTCTGTTAGTAACCCCAAGAGGTATCCCTTATTTCTATAAACTCTTTTCTGAATAGAGAAAGGAATCGTCGCTCTGCTCCCGAGGACGTAGGCATCTTTGTCGAACCTCGTTAAATCTCTGTATTCTTCTGGATTTGTTCTTCTGGATTTGTGTTCTTCTGGATTTGTGTCGCGTTACTGTTTTTCTTCGCACTAATTTTCTTAACAAGTGGTATCAGAGACTGTTTCGAGGGGAAGAAAATTTTCATCGGCGCAAGAAGAAGTTTGGCGGCCAGGTTTTACAAATCATAGCCAAGGTTCGAGGGCAAGGACGGACTTCGGCGGATCTACGCAGGAAGGAGTTCGACTAGGGGTTTGAGCGCAGATTTTGCTTGGGATCACGGCAAAAGGTATTCCTGTGCGAGCAGATCAAGTTCGTGGATCGCGGCGTTCTGCGGAAGAAAGAGTTTGCAGACGCAGAAGCGTTGTTCCTGTTCTTGGATCGCGGCGCTCACAGAAAGGGAACGAGTTCGCGGACGCAGAAGCACTGTTCCTATTCGTGGATCGCGGCGCTCGCAGGAAGGGAACAGTGCTTGGGCGGAATAGGCGTGATCCAGAAAAGGGAAGGAATGGAGGAGGCAATAAAATAATTCGGAACTTTCCTTTGCTGCTGGCTTGCAGATATTCAAAGATTCGTACCAGAAGACAGAAGAATATTCCCTTGCGGAGAAGGAAGTAAAGTTTTTTGAAATTTGTTAATTAAAATTATAATTTTAATTAAGGGGGTCTTGATTAAGGAAGTTTAATCAAGAACATATTTCAATTTTTTTTTTCAAAAAAAAAAAAAAGGTTTGCAAAGATTTTTGTAGAAGAATTTTTTACAAAAAAGTTTCGTTGTAGGTTTAATTTTCAGATGGCATTTTCTGGTGCGAAATTCGAGGTGGTGAAGTTCGACGGAACTGGTAACTTCAGACTGTGGCAAACCAGAGTGAAAGATTTGTTGGCGCAACAGCGAATCTTGAAAGTTTTGCGGGTAACGAAACCAGATATCATGGAAGATGACGATTGAGAAGAACTGCAACAGTGAGCGACAGCAACGATTCGTCTATGTTTGGCAGACGAGGTTATGTTATGTATCACGTGATGAATCTGATGAATCTGAAATCTCCAGAAGAAGTTTGGAAGAAATTGGAAACTCAGTTTATGGCTAAATCTCTGACGAACAAGTTGTATCTGAAGCAAAAACTGTATGGGTTAAAGATGCAAAAAGGGTCTGATATGGCGCAGCATGTTAATGGCTTCAATCAGATAATCACAGACCTGTCACGGCTTGATGTGAGTATTGAGGATGAAGATCGAGCGATGATTTTGTTGTGTTCATTGCCCTCTTCCTATGAACACCTGATAACTACTCTGACATATGGGAAAGAACTATCAAAGTTCATGAGATTACTGCAGCGTTGTTGGCTCACAACCAGCGGAAGCAGAATGCAGGAAAAAGCTCTCACAGCGACAATGGTGACAGTTTATATGTGAAGAGTAAGCATGATCGTGGAAGGAAGAAAGAGAATGAGGATTCTGGAAGGCGAAATTTCAGATCGAAGTCCAAAGGCAAAAAGACAATTCATTGCTACAGTTGCAAGGAGTCAGGTCATATGAAGATAGATTGTCTAAAGCTGAAGAAGCAGACTGGGGAGAAATGTGATACTTCATCGAAGTTTGTAAATGTGGTGCAGAATGATAACTCAGATTGTGGTGATCGCGATATGCTCTCAGTTTCATCAACTCAGATCACGGATGCATGGATTCTTGATTCAGGGTGTTATTATCACATAAAACCTAAGAGGGAGTGGTTTACTTCAGACAGGTCAATTAATTCAGGCTCAGTCTATTTGAGTGATGATAGATGCTGCAATATATTTGGTATTGGAGAAGTCAGAATTCAAATCTATGATGACACAGTTAGAACGTTATGTGATGTCAGACATATTCCAGATATGAAGAAGAATTTGATTTCCTTGGACACTTTACTTTTATTCCTAAGGCTGATTAAGGCTGATGAGGGTAGGGAAACCATCAGAATTGTTAAGGGTGCACTGATGGTGATGAAAGAAAAATTAACTGCAGGTAATATCTACAGACAGTTAAGGAGTATAGTTGTAGGTGGAGTTCATTCTGTTGAGTCCGATAATGACAGCACAAAGCTATGGCACATGCGTCTGGGTCATCTCAGTGAACGTGGGATGGCAGAATTGCATAGAAGAAATCGGTTGTATGGGGTTAAAATTTGCAAGCTCGATCTTTGTAAGTTTTGTATTCTTGGAAAACATACTAGAGTCAGTTTTATGACTGAAAAGCACAAAACTGAAAGAATTCTTGATTATGTGCATTCTGATGTATGGGGCCCTACTAGGGAGTTATCATTGGGAGTATCTCAGTATTTCGTTACCTTTATTGATGATTTCTCCAGAAAATTTTTGATGTATTTTTTGAAACAGAAATCTGAAGTATTATCTAAATTCAGCTATGGAAAGCTGGGGTGGAGAATCAAACTGATAGAAAGATCGAGTATTTGAGGTCTGATAATGGCACAGAGTACACAGATTCGCAGTTTCAGAAGTTCTGTGAGGAGTATGGGATTCAGAGGCATTTTTCTGTGCGAAAGACACCACAGCAGAATGGTGTGGCAGAAAGGATGAACAGGGCATTAACTGAAAGGGCAAGGTGCTTAAGACTGAACGCAGGGCCTTCTAAGAGTTTCTGGGCAGAAGCTGTGAATATGGCATGCTATCTCATCAATAAATCACCTCGAGCATCGGTGGCAAGGTCGCAGAAGAGGTATGGACAAGTAATCCAGTTAAATTTGATCATTTACGGATTTTTGGATGTCCTGCTTATGTGCATGTACCTGGAGATGAAAGATACAAACTTGATGTAGCCAAACTTGATGCAAAATCCAAGAAGTGCATCTTTTTTTGCTACAAGAAAGGAGTGAAAGGATACAAGTTTTGAGATCTGATTGCAAAGAAGATGGTGATCAGTAGAGATGCAGTTTTTGATGAGCAATTTATGTTACAACTGAATCAAGACAATGTGTCAGGGAACAGTTCCAGATCAGATGCATTGCAGATGGATTTAAAACAGCAGTCAGTAACTTCTGAGAGAGGTGAAAGTTTAAATCCAACACCTGGTGATTCTCCTGGTGATTCTATTCCAAATTCCAAATGATCTGCAGAATTATAATATAGCCAGAGATAGACAGAGACGCACCCATGTAAGGCCTCCTAGAAAATTTCCTCCTAGCAGATTGAGTTATGAAGACTTGGTCTCTTGTGCCCTTCTCATCAGCAGCGATGATCCAGCCACTTTTCAAGGAGCTATCACTAGCCAGGAGAGAGAAATGAATGGGTGCAATGGTTGAGGAGATGGAGTCTTTGCAGAAAAATTGCACTTGCGAGCTAGTTCAGCTTTCAGAGGGTTGCAAGTGAGTGTACAAAAGGAAACCAGCAGTATCAGAAAATGAAGGGAAAAAGTTCCAGGCTCGACTGGTAGCAACAGGATTTTCACATCATAAGGGGATAGATTATGATGAAATTTTTTCTCTTGTGGTCAGACATACTTCAATCAGGGCAGTGTTTGCATTAGTAGCTATTTGGGATTTGCATTTGGAGCAGATGGATGTTAAAACTGTTTTCTTGCATGGTGATTTGGAGGAACAGATTTACATGGAGCAGCCAGAAGGGTTCACTCAACCTGGACAGAAGTATCTAATTTGCAGTTTAAAGAAATCGTTGCATGGGTTGAAACAGTCTCCAAGATAATGGCACAACCGGTTTGACTCTTATATGATGCAGATTGACTACAGACGATGTGAGTATGATTGTTGTGTTTATGTGAAGAGCCTTGATGATGGTTCTATTATTTTTTTTTTTTTGTATGTTGATGATATACTGATTGCTGCAAAGAATATGAATAATGTCTGTGGTTTGAAAGCTTTTTATTGAGCCAAGAATTTGACATGAAAGACTTGGGACCTACGAATAAAATTCTTGAAATGGAAATTCATCGAGACAGAGACTCAAGATGATTATGTCTATCTCAACGAGGCTATGTTGAGAAAGTGCTAGAAAGGTTTGAGATGAGCAATGCAAAGCCTGTGAGCACTTCTTTGACAAATCATTTTAAGCTTTCTTCATAACAGTGTCCTTAGACTGATACAGAAATTGAAGACATGGCAAAGGTTCTATATGCCAGTGCAGTTGGCTGCTTGATGTATGTTATGGACATGGCTAAACCTGAAAGATGACTGAAAGATACTGTAGGATATTGAATTATTTTTAGCAGTAAGCAGAATGATCCTTCAGTTGTGGGGTACGTTGATTCAGACTAAGCAGGTGATTTGGATGGCGGAAGGTCTATAACTGGGTATGTGTTTACTCTTGGTGGAGGACCTATATGTTGGAAATCAACAATTCAGTCTATTGTGGCATTATCTACAACTGAAGC